TGTAGAAATAAAGCAAATATATGTGTTTTTTATTTTACCAGTATGGCTATTATATCATCAGAAGTTGAGGGACGAGTATGCCCGTAAGGTTATACATCTAATATGTCAGCAACTATCAAATTTAAATCAGAACCAATTTGTGCAAAGTAAAGCAGTGGAAGCAGCCTTTGAGGCTATCAAGAATGACAACCCAGATATTGTAATAGAAATTACAAAAGCCAATGAAAATATATTATGGAGCAGTACAGATCCTGAAGAATCAACAAGCTTGTTTGCGTGTGCTGTAACAAATCGTCAAGAGAAAGTGGCACAATTTCTTCATGAACTAGGTGCAAGCACGGATAGAAATATAATTAATATCATCGATGAAGATGGAAACAATGCGTTACATATAGCAGCGAAGTTAGCTCCTCATTCTAAGTTAAGCCACATTTCTGGTGCAGCTTTGCAGTTGCAAAGTGAACTGCGTTGGTTTAAGGTAAGCATCCTTTAACTAAGACTTCAATTAGTAAGGTTGTAGTTATTTTATTTTTTTTAATTTTATGTTGCACAATGTGGTTTTTGGCTCTTAGTTTTGGATTTCATAAATTTTTTAATTTTTGAGAACCAAAACTAAAGATAGAAAACTAACGATTTGTTTTTGACGAATTTTAACATTAATAACAAAAATTATAAATTTATTTAATAGTATTAAAACTATTGTTATTCTTTAATATTTCTTTAATAATCATAATAATATATTACAAAAACATATAAAGGTAAAGAGTTTTTAATTTAGAGTTACCAAATTTATAAAAACTAAAATTAAAAATCAAAAAGCACAATTATAGTAGATAGAGCCTTAATTTGCTTTTTCTTTTTTTAATTAAGCGATAAGATAACTTATATAAGTCCTTGATTTTTTTGGTCAATACATATATATAATAGTATATATCAGTCTTGACTCAAAAAAAAAATCCTAACTTCAAAAACATAACTATCTTTTTTTTTTTTAGATGAATCAAATTTTTTATTGTGATGAGGAGTATAAGTGGTACTCAACTCTTAGTTTCCAAAAGACATTACAAAAGATAATCTATGAGGACATTCAAGAATCAATACTGACTGTATGACCACAGTTCTAGTTTTTAGTGATTTCTTGAATGGACCCTGATTGGTGCACACCCGGATCCAACACCCGGGTGTGCACCCCTATATAAAAAAAAAAATTGGACCGGGTGGATGATGGGCATTTTTTTTTTCAAAGGGAAGTGTGCACACCCGGCTGTTGACCCGGGTGTGCACATATCATTTTCCTTCTTGAATACATAGCAAAAACATAACCATCTAATTAATCTTTTAAAATTAATCTAACATTTATAATCATTTGATCAAAAAATCAGTACATTATATTCTAATAGGCCAAACTTTTTTTTTTTTTATCAACAAAGCAACATACGAAATATATTAAAAAATGAGCATAAGAAAAACTCCCAAAACAAAATACAATCCGGTGAACTCAAGTTACACAACCAAATTTACCTACATCAATCAAATACACAAAAGCTCAGAAAAAACCACCAGGAAACTACAAAAGAAGGAAATAAAACTAAGCGCCTTTCTGCAGCTTATAACATTTCGAAATTTTATGATGTTGCGCAATAGCTTCCCTACTTCATAAGAAATTTTCAGCCTAACTACTTTATAAGAAATTTAACACTACTAAATATATGTCAATAAACAGAGTTTGTTTGGTCAAAAGATTATTAGTATTAGATCAATATAAAAATTGACATACATAATCTACTTAATTGAAACTTTCAATCCAATGATTTTTGAAAATATTAATTAGAAGATAGGTTTTTAGACAAGTCATCCAAAAAGGATTTTAAGAAAATGACCTGTGCTGCACTATCATATATATATATATATATAATAATGCATTTTAGTCCCAATTTTTTAAAAAATTAGACTCCCAACTTCAAAAACACCACCCTCTAATTAATATTCTTAAAAATTAACCATTAAATTTAATATTTTATTAATGTAGATCATGCATACCTACTTTTAAGTTAATCTAACATCTATAACCATTCAATTTGGAAACTTATATTTTATAATATATATTTAACGGTGGTAAGTTTTCTATAATCAATTAAATAGTTATATATATTCATTTAATTTAAAAATTAATATGTATAATCTACATGAATAAAACACTAAATGTAACAATTCATATTTGAAAATATTCATTAGAAATAAATAAAAAGTAGAAAATATAAGTTTTTTTATCAAACAATTATAGATGTTACATCAACTTGAAAATTGTTATGCATAATTTATATGAATAGAATACTAAATATAACGGTTGGTTTTTGAAAATATTCATTAGTGATGGTGTTTTTGAAGTTCAGACTCTAATTTTTATTAGGAGTTAGACTGATATAGACTATTCTTTATTATATATATGAGTAGGGATTCACTTATATACAGTTCTTATATACCACACTTATATAAAATTTTAACTATTCATCTTTTCACTTTCAATAATTAAGATTTATTCATATTTATTAAAGATAATTATATTTTTCACTTTAATAGAGAGATGAATGGTTAAGATTTAGTGTAAATATGGTGTATAAGACTTGAATGTGAATGTATAAAT